TGCCAAAAATGTTCAAAATAAAAAAAAAAAAAAAACCTGAATACAAATTAGAAAGACAAGAAATCTATTTAGATCTAAAAAACCCTATTCGTAATTAACACAAAAACCTAATGAAAATTAAATAGAGATAGAAAAAAGAGTCTGGTTAGAGCCATACACTATATTATTAAGGTTATATAAATTTTAACTTTTTCTTAATAGTTATTTAATTATGATATTTAAAAATGTCAATTTATAAATTGATTTTAATCTGTTAAGTGATATATATCTATTATTTTATCATCTATTAATTAATAATTACAAATATTAATTATTTTTAACATTTAAATTATATAAAATCAATATTTTAAAATATAATATTTAAAAATTTATGTGACCATAATATTTTTTTTTATGGATAACCATAACTTGCCCAAAAAAGGGTAGAACTATTCAGCACTGCTTCTTTTTAACCAACGCAGCGGCATGCTTTACCATCATGAAATTGATGTAACCAAGAACTTTGTAGTAAAAAATTCGTATGGGAACTTTTGCACATAATGAATTCTTTCATGTCATGTCATTCAAACCAGCATATTACCTCCACTCTATTTTACTCATCACTTTTTTAATTAACATTATTATTAAAAATGATAAAAATTTACTATTATAAAAATAAAATTATTATTCATATAAAATTTCATATTTACCTTTATTAGTAAGAAATGTTGAAAGTTAACAATATGAATAATTTAGTAGTAAATTTCTTTTAATAGAAAAAAATATTCTGATTTTGAATCATATGACATAGAAGTAAAATGCGTTAAAAAAAGAAGAAAAAATTGTTTCTCTTTATATAACTTAAAATTAAAAAAAAAATTGAAAGTTAAGATATATTTTTTCAAAAATAGAATAATTACTAATAGGAGTAAAGTTGAAAAAGAGAACTTTAATGTTGTATTTAAAATAAAAATTAATAAGTAAAATTAGACCCTTTTTTAAAAAAAAGTATAACAAGAAAAATAAATTGAGGTAAAACAAGTATAAGAATTTCTTAACATGTGTATTTAAATAAAGAGATTAAGGGTGCTCTTAGATTATAGGCTAAAAGTACAACTAATACACATTTTTATTAAATTAATTTATATTAAAAATTACAAAAATTAATGTTAATTTTATCATTAATATTATGTAAATATTTTTAATTAAATAATTAATTAAACATAGACTAATTTTAAAATAATATAAATTAATAATAAAAATATATATTAATTATATCTTTACCGCACAAATTAAAAATATTTATATATAAGAGCATTGCAAAGATGGGGAAAAGGATGTCAAGTGAGAAAACACAAAAAGTAGGTACTTAATTGAGAACATCAACTATACGTCAGTAGTAAATCAAAGTAAAATAAAAAAATAAAAAGGTGTGAAAGAAAGAGAGAGAAGAAAAATAAAGGAAGAAAAATCTCCAATCTAGTATATAGCTGCCCCTTATCAGTTGGCCTTTATTAATTTTCAATTATTTCTTTTCCTTTCAGCAAAACAACGTCTTGTCAACCACCAAGCCACACATCACGCAGGCTCCGGCTAAGCTTCCCCCTCCGCCTCCTCCGCCTCCTCCGCAATCTCTTCATTTTCCTTCCTCCTCATCTAGCCCCGATCATGTCTTGAATTTCTCCGATGTTCATCTGAATTTTTTTCTTTACCATGTCTAAACCATGGTGCAACTTCACTTATTCAAGGCCTCCTTGAGAAAACAAAACACTGTTTAAGCATTCCTAATTATCCAAGGCTTTGGGGGAAAAACTCTTTTGTATTTTCAGCAGATGATGATTAGCTTAGCTCTCTAGCTATTTTTCTCTCTAGGGTTTCTGTTCATACAGAATTCTTTCTTTAGGGTTTTCTTAGGTTTTCTTTCTTTTACCCTTTTGAGTTTCCGGCTATTGTTAATTTAGCCATGGAGGAATATAATCAGCTCAGCGAAAATAGCACTACTCCAAGAGCGAATTTCCTCTATGCCTCACCTCTTCTTGCACCAAACTCTTCCTCTTCTCCATATGGTAGGGCAAATACAATGGCGGGCGTTAGCTCCTTTCATCTCCAATCGGGCGAGTGCTATCAATCTGAGGTGAAATCTGAGGTCGCCGGTAGTTCAGCTCAGAAATTTCACTACCCTTTAATGATCAGAGGACATCCCGCAATTCCTCACCAGGATGGGAGCGAGGGCTCCGGCGGTGATGTAGATGCCATAAAAGCTAAGATCATTTCCCACCCTCAGTACTCTAGCCTTTTGGAGGCTTACCTGGATTGTCAAAAGGTGTGTAGAAGAAGCAAAAGTTTCCCCCAGAGAATAAGTCAAACCCTCTCATTTACTTTACCTCTCACCCCTCTTATGCTTCTTACAGGTAGGAGCTCCGCCGGAAGTAGTGGCTCGGCTGACTGCTGCTCGTCAAGAGTTTGAGGCACGGCAACGATCTTCAGTGACATCCAGAGATACTTCTAAAGACCCAGAACTGGATCAGTTCATGGTAGTGATCATTTTGTGTCTTTTTAATTAATATGCCATCATCTTGAGTTGCTGATGATCTTGTTGGTAATGTTTTTTTACAGGAAGCTTATTATGATATGCTGGTGAAGTACCGAGAGGAGTTAACAAGACCAATACAGGAAGCGTTGGATTTCATGCGGAGGATCGAAACTGAACTAAACATGATCAGCAATGGCCCCGTGCGGATTTTCAACAATGGTATATACATTTCTCCCTTTCCAAACATTATATGATTGGGTTTCCCCAACATGGAAATAAACCACTGGAAATGTCGAACCAAGTTTTGTCCTTGGCTAATTTTGTAGATGGATGTTAAATAGTACTAACCTCCCTCCTCCAACCCCCCCCCCCCCAAAAAAAAAAAAAGAAAAATCTATGGAAATCCTAGAGTCATATACCCAAATTTTTTTTAAAAAACTTGTCTTTGATTGATCAAAAAAGAATTAGTAAGAAGCACCCAGCAAAGGTTGGTTATGGTTAAAAGTATTTTGTTAAGATATATAAATTGTCTTGAAAAATATTATTAATTTCGTTTACCTTGATTAATGAAATATTTAATATTTAATAAATTGAAATTAAATTATAAATTAATATTTATTAATAATATAATTAATTATTTTTTAAAAATTATAAATTTATATTAAAATACTAATTAAACTAAACAATACTCACCTGATTTTAACAAAAATAAACTATGACTATAATCACAATCCGACAAAGCTTAGCAAACCCTAATCATGAAATCTACCTGAAAAGATGGAGCTTTTGATTTTCGTGATTCTGACAAAGGATTCTTATTTTAGGGGTTGGATTTTCCTTCCCAAGGTCTAAATATCATATTGTTCTTCAAATGGTATTGATTTTCGTAAATGAATACGTGCCTCAGATGAATGGTATCCTGTAACTGCTCCATTTCCCAAGTTGTTCTTCTTGTAGTAGTAAATGATTTTGTTTTATTACAAAAAAAAAACTGATTTTGTTTTTAAATTTAAATACAAAGGCTCAGGCTAGTTAGGAACCAGTGAGGTCTGTGTAGCCTGTACCGTGTACGGACATTTAATTCAATCACTAATTTCTTTCGGTACTCGTATTTCATTGCTTTGAGCTATCCATAATTTCTTTTGTCAAAGGAAAAAGTATATCCTTTTTCCTTCTTTCTCTTCAGTTTGTTCCGGTAAATGTCATTGTTCCATGAAACCGAGGTAGATTGCTACTGTACATATTTTTTTTAATGGCTGCCTTGGTTTGGATGGGGATATTCTAGCATTTTTGGTCAAATTTCTCCTGATATGGCCAAAAATAGTGCTTCAATGCACCTAATGATATCATTGAGAAGAGCCCACAGGCAAGAGGATAGGTGATAACTGTGTTTCCATGGTAATATTCTAGATATTTTTTGTTTTTCAGTTTATGGTTATGGATTGATTCCTTTAAACGTTTGCATGAAACGGTTTCATTTTTGTTGATTGAGATATTAATTTATTTGTCTAGCTAGCTTTAGAAGGTTAAACTAGATTTACACAGGTTTTTTAATTTTTTATGGTGGTGGACAAATGTTCTTGGTCTTAAACTTGGAGAAAAAACCTTCTTGAATAGCTTTTTGTTATGAGAATTTGGCCAATTTTATTTATCTATGAGGGTTGGCTCAAAATTGATAGGATTTGAATGCTAAGACAATTATTTTTAAATTTAAGTCCTGCTATCAATCGTTCCTCCTAAATAGACCATTCATAAATTCCATTATTAGTACTCATAAAGCCAGGTAGTATTTATGCCTTCGTTTGGGAGTGGGGTAACCTGCCCTTACTCTAAATTTTATACTACCAAAAAAAGAGAGTATAAAAAATGTTTAGATTTTGTTAAAAATTTGAGGTTATGTTGTTGCATTAGTTACATATCAAGGTTTTACTTCACATAAAAGGTTGTCAAACTAAAATCTTAGTTGAAGTTAAGACTTTGCATATATAAATAAGCATGCAACATCCAGAGTTTTTCCTCTTCATGTTGGTAGTTCCCAACTTTTGTCTTTAGTGTTGAAACACTGTAGGTTGTTGTTGTTGCTTCTAGCTAGTTCTATTTGCTAGTTTCTTTGTGGTAACTCCTATTTGAGTTGACCAAAATATGAAATAAAAAAACAAAAAAAAAATGTTTTTAGGATTTTTTTCAAGTTCATTGTGCTAGCACTACCAAAAAGTGTTAAAATCTTGCATTCAAAATTCAAAACACCTTGACCTTGTATGTATGTGTGTGAATAGTACGCAAGCCTAATGGTTTTTTTTTTCTTTTTTCTTTTTGGCATTGCTATTGTTCATCTCCTGATGTTGTTAATTTAGGTAAGTTAATAAACATGTTGGTGATATGATTTTTAGTATTTAGTATTGTGATTCTAGGAGCATCTTGTTCCTTTATGGATAGGATTTCTCACAAAGTTTGTTATATAGAATCTTTACCCAAATGACATTATATCTCTGCTGATGAAAATCACATTGCATCAATTATCCCACTAATTGTCATTAAATTGCGATTTCTCCAAATTCCATTGTCTATGTTGATTATGAATTTAATTATTTATAATAATTTTCATTGAATTTCTGAATAGATGAGAAATGTGAGGGTGTTGGCTCATCTGAGGAGGATCAAGACAACAGTGGTGGAGAGACAGAACTACCTGAAATCGATCCACGAGCTGAGGACCGAGAGTTGAAGAACCATTTACTGAGGAAGTATAGCGGTTACTTGAGTAGTCTGAAACAAGAACTCTCCAAGAAGAAGAAAAAAGGAAAACTACCTAAAGAAGCTAGGCAGAAGCTACTTAGTTGGTGGGAGTTGCACTATAAGTGGCCATATCCTTCAGTATGTATATCTTAAGTTAATTGCCTGTCTCTCAGATACTATAAAATGCATGGTTCCACATATATGTTCTGTTAAAATTTTAAATGCTATAAAATCCTTTTGGGTATCCTGTGTAGGAGACAGAGAAAGTGGCATTGGCTGAATCAACTGGATTGGACCAGAAGCAAATAAATAATTGGTTCATAAATCAAAGGAAGCGACACTGGAAACCTTCGGAAGATATGCAATTCATGGTGATGGATGGTCTTCATCCTCAGAATGCAGTTCTCTATATGGATAGTCACTACATGGGTGATGGTCCTTACCGGTTGGGACCATAAGTGTGGACTGCATCGGACAGGCTGCCTCAATGCGAGCCATCTAAGTTGTACGTTTATATTTCATTGCTGTTGTTGAACGTAATCAGTCTGTCTTTCTCCCATGGTTATCTTCATCTGAGAGCATTGCGCAAGTTCCCGCAAATTGTATTCTCTTGTTATCATGTGTTGCATCCACACGGAACGAGATAAATAGTTCAGGATGGGTTTAATTTTTTATTTTAGTAGTACAATAGGGGAAAATCTTCTCCTTTCCGTTAAGTTATTTCAATTATATATTATGTAATTCAAACTCAAATTCTCTTATTTTTATTAGAAAGAAATTATTATTAAACTATTTAAATTGTAATTTTTTAAAATTCAAGACCATGTCCTCACAACATAAATAAATGAAGAAATTCTACTCCCAATGTGATGGGTGTCCTCTTTAAGAGATGAGATTCTAAAAAAAAAAATAAAAAAAAAAAAAACATGAAAGAAAAAAAGAGTTGCATATCTTTATATAAATAGAAATTGTACTTAAATGAATTGGTTTAAGTTCAAAAATGTAAAAATATATTTAAATGAATTAGGGATGCATATATGTTCATTTAGTGGTATTTTCATCGTGGACTGATGTTTACATTTTTTCATACTATAAAAAAAAAGTGAATCTTAAAAATTGAATTTATTGGTAAAGAAGTGTTATTTTATAAATTAGATTTAAAATTTAAATCTTAAAATCAATATCCAAAGAAACCAATTCCTATGTACTAGATCAATATAAGATATGTGTTTTTAAAATTATTCAAAGAAAAATTAAATTTGAGGTACATGAAAACTATTTTGAGAATACTTTAACGATAAATATTATAAAAAAAGAAAATGTGTAATTTGAATTGCATAATATTAAATATTATTAAATGGGAGAGAATATTGAAGGTGTTTTTGATCCAATGACCTATATTTTGCAATATGGAGTGCAAAACAGAAAATTCAATTATGAATTACAAAATACCGATTGACCCGTAGGCCAATGAAATGGAAAAATTTAAAAACAGAGACGCGGTTTGCAACGGAATTCATTTTCCTTTATGCCTTTTTGGGCCTAATATCTATAATTGTATATGCGTTCAGGGCTCATATATTTATAACACAGCCCAACATGAGAACAATCCTTGAGACCTTGACTCGGAAATATGATTGTTCACAAGGCCACATTTAACTCTTTTATTCGAAGCCCACATGTCTATAAACAATTACGATAATTATAGACTTGATAATTATGCATGCACATGCCCAACAATTATCATCATCCCTTACAACTATTTAAATCCAACTATATAATAACCATAATTTTACATTCACTAATAAATAAATATTATCTTATAAATTAAGTATAAAATTGAAATCTTGAGATTAATATGCAGAAAAATTAATTTTTTTAAATATATTAAACTGATGTGAGAACGTATCTTTATAAAAGAATTAATCTCGAAATGGTGAAAATTAACTCTAAAACATAAATTTTTTAAAAAAATCCAACCATATAATTTATAGGGCCTAGGTTCTATCGGTTTTGACTTTCTACCTATATTTACCGAACTAACGGTCTTTTTAATCCATAAGCAGCCTCTAATTTACTCTCTATTGATCAAGTCATGACTAATGTTAAAGATCCGCTGTGTCCACCCCCACCCTTTCCTCAACTGGATATGTGTGACCAACAAATGTTCTCTGAGGCATTCTACCGAGCAGATGGATGGCAAACTTGACAAGGTGTGATTTTAAGCTAACAAGAGGAATATTGGAGAAGCATTCTTCATGTTCTTTAATTAAGCTTAGTAAATAAATTATTTTCCAACTAGAACATAATCAAGAAGAGTCTAGTAGAAAAATTCACTACAAATTTACAACATTTTTACAAGAGATAGGAGACTCTAGCAGTATGTTTTAGTGAAATTAATTACTTGATCATGTATATTAGTATTTGTAGACAGAGGATGCTCTGAAGAAAACCAGCACTGTCTGCCAGTCTCTCGCTGCCTTTCCTACCAGGCTGCGTGCTGGTGATGACTGAACGGATTATAGAATTGTGACTTCTGCCCTATTGTATAAGCCCTCAATGGGAGAGCCAACATCACCACCACTGGCAACCCTCTCACAGGAAGGGCACATGCTCAGGGTTGCTACCGGCAGCTGCGTGAAGTACTTTGCCGCCGTCGCTTTCATTGATTTACTAAGCTCTTGCACCTCCTTGTGCAGCCTCTTGTTCTCTTCTGTAAGTTTCTCACAACATTTCTTCAGTAATTCACAATCCACTTCAGTCTGCTTCAGCTTTGTCCTGCATAAAGAGGAAAAAAAAAAGTTATCTCCTGTTGTATGATATAATGGTTATCTTCTGCAGTCAGGATGTATTAGAGGAAAAAGAACCTTGCTCTCCTGTTCTGAAACCATACTTCAACTTGTCGCGGCCTTAGATTCAGTCGTTGCGCTAAAGCTTGCTTTTCCTTCTGTTTTTAAATCAAAGAAAAATATTTGAAAATCAGAAGAAATTTGTATAGATGTGCACAGAATGAATATGAATTTGAAGATTTAAAGGGTATAATACTACAGGGTTGAGAGTGCTATGTGCTTTGAAACTGTCTTCTAAAACGGCAGCCTGTTCTTTGGTAAGCCGAAGTTTCTTTCTGGGGCTACCTTCTTCGTCTTCATCACTTACCCTCGAAGAAACTCTCTCCAACTCCACCTCCTCGCCGCCTAAATCCCCCTCTTTCTTGACACTAGAGTTGGAAAACGAGGATACCGCACTGGGAGAAGAGGCTTGTTGGTGATGATCGCGAGATTGATGATCTCCTTGATCAGTTGAAGGACCCAAAGTAAGAGTGGGCAAAAATTGCTGATCATTCTTGACAGAGATAAATTTCTTTTTCTTTCTTTTATGAACAGATTGCGAAACGTTTTCTTGCTCCACAAGGCAACTGCCTACACCAAGACCAAGATCAAGATCAATACCAAGACCGAGGCCAGGGCCAGCTTTACAAATATCATCAAAACCCATGGTAATTAGGAGGAAGTCTAGAAGGTGTTTTTCAGAGAGAAATGGAAGAGGCGAAGGGGCAAGAAAATTTTGAGGGGTGTTCTTGAAGGAAGGCAGAATGTGGGAAAACAATTATTAATCAAATGGAAAAGGAATGGAGAATACTAACGAACCTGGTTTAGTGAGTTATTAAAAATTCCCCATCTCTCTCTTTTGTCCCCATGGGATGACCAAAGTTGGGAACCACTGAAAGAATACAAACAGTGCATAAAAGTGTATGGAATGGATTGCATACGTGGAATCACGTGGAAAGTGGTTGTATATAGGAGCACAAAGAAGAGAAGTATTCCACCTTTTTCACCTTTTCTTTTTGGATTTTTCTCAGGATTTTCTCAAAAGTGCACGCTCGTGCACAGTTCTAATCACAAATGGAGCAACTTATCTCACAAGTCTTCAAAAAAAAAAAAAAAAAAGCTTAAAGCTTTAATAATAAGATTAGTACTGTTTCACGAATCATTAGTTAAAGTTTAAATTATTGAGTGACATGGTATATAATATTTGATTCTTGATCCTTCACCTGATAGTTGGGGCAGTTGGATAAAATTACAGAAGATTAATATATTCCTTTATCATTAATTATAGTTAATAATGGTGGTTTTGAGTAAGGAGAAGACTGAGGAGAGACTAGGGACATATATGAAGCATGAGCTAGCTATAATGTTTTCATGTAGAGCTAGTTGCAGACCGCCTCAAGTGTCTCCACTCCATGCATGCCTTGCTTCATTCACAAGATATGGAAATTTTCTCAATAAGCAAAGCAAATATGCCTCAAGCCATCATCTTAACAAGAGGATACAATAAATATAAATAGTTTTTGTAACTTATAGCTTAAGAATAGGTAAAAAGTATAATAAATATATATTTTTTTATAAATTTATATTGAAATAATAAATATTTATTTTTAATTTATTAATCACTTAATTAAATTTATCTATGTGACAAATTATAATACTAAAATTAATGTTAATTTTTATATTTTTTTATATAAATTAATAACAAAAAATATATACTTTTAACTTGTACTTTTAAAGTATAAAATAAAAAATCTCTATAATATACAACTAACTTTTTCTTTCCTTAATTTTGGGGAGAAAAAGAGCAAAGAGTATTAAAAAAAATTAGTGAATTCGAATCTTCTTCACTTTTCCTACAAAGAATTTGAACATAAGACCTTAAGCCAACTTGTCAAGAACAACTTTATTATTAGAATATTTTAAAATTAGATGTTCCAAGTTCAAAATTAGGTATAAACATATTGGTGGTATCTTTGCGAGACAATAGCCAAGACATGTAAAATCAATTACAAAAGTTCAAGCATATATTTTGGGATCGTATTTTCATTGTTTTTCCCTAGGGAATAATATTGTTCCACATGCTGAAATGATTTTTCCTTTTTCCATAGGGAAGAGTTTCCACACCGTTATTAGTTGCAATGGAGAACTGAGCTTAGAGGTTGGTACTCATGACCTACCACCTTAGAAGGGAAAGAGATGGGCACCATATAAGGTCTCTGAATATTGCTAAGGGGGCTCCCACCCATCAATTCATTGTGCATTTTAGGTCTGAATGGATTGAACACAGTTATGATTTTCAAAAGATAAATAATTCTATTGCCAGACTAGAAATTGCTAATGACAAAAGTTGATGTTGAGTTTTGAACTAATTAAGCACACAAAAGAAAGAGACCCAGCAATCTTATTTTTCCTTGTCGAAACAGCTGATGGGGAAATCATGCCAATTTGGTACGGTTAATCCACCGCCCCACCGACGAATCTTAAAATTTCAAAATACTTCTGTTTGTGGGTCATGATTGAGAATTTCTCGTTGATGGGATATCTAAATTAACCATCTGATTTTTACTTTTGTCAAAAGTATGTTCGGGGCCATTTAGATGAGTGAGGTCTCTTTGGACGGGGAACATGTCTTCCTCATCCAACGGCCGGCGTGAAGAGAAAAATGTTCTTTAGTCTAATAGGGTATTATGGTATCCCATCGAATAAAATTTGACACATCAAAAGTTTTGGCAGATTTTCTGTCAAAAATAAGTAACAATGTACTTGTCGGTTAACATTTTAAATAAGTCAAATGTCTCAATTGAATAAAATAAAAAAGTAATAATTAAAATGTTAAAACGTCTTCGTTATTCTCAATTCATGAATAATAAGTTCAAAGAAATGCACATGATTCTTCTTCTATTTTTTTTCAATAGATGATTAGGTCATGGAAAGTTGCTTGGCAGGCATTATGATACGTAGAAAAATTATCTATAGACCTTCATTGCTAAGTTTCTAGAACAAATTATCAAAAATTGACTTCGACATGGTAAAAGGTATTAATATTTATTAAAAAAATTTATTTTATTATTTAGATTATATTAAATTATAAAATAAATATTATTAAATAAAAAATAACTTCAATATTAAAAAATTTATCATTATTT